GTTTAAAATTAACTCCGTTACAAAAACTAGAGGCCATCACCTAAAATTGGTGGAAAAAAAATTCCAGCACAAGGGGCGAAGGGGGTTCTTCACAGTAAGATCAGTTAGGGTCTGGAACTCACTGCCACAGGCGGTGATTTCAGCAAATAATGTGGAATTGTTCAAGAAACTTTTGGACGATTTCTTAAGGGACCGTAATATACAGGGGTACAGGTAATATACAGGGGTACAGGTACTCCTAGAATGAGATCCTAATAGGTTGGACTTGATGGACTAATGTCTTTATTCAACCTCAAATACTATGTAACTATGTAATTGTTCCAAGGCTGCAAATGCAGGTCTGCAGCAGTGAAGGAGTTAAATTAATTCACCACGGGGTCCTGGAAAGTATATGGCAGCTTTATCTCCTGGCACCCAATCCTGTCAGCTGATTGCAGGGCACAATGCTAAGCCATCTCAAAGATCTCTGAAGAGCATAATAGTAATTTACCATTTCACAGACAGCAGCAATCAACAAGTAGCTGGGGAAGGAGGAGAGAGACACTGACTGATGCTGGGGAGGGGATGGAGGAAGAGAGACACTGACTGATGCTGCGGAGGGGATGGAGGAAGAGAGACACTGACTGATGCTGGGAGGGGAATGGAGGAAGAGAGACGGGGAGGGGGTTGAGAGGAGACAGACATCAACCGACGCTGGGTGGGGGTGCTGAGAGACACTGACCGACACTGGGGGGAAAGAGGGGAGAGATACTGTCCGATGCTGGGGTCACGCAAAAATTTCCTCGGCCGAAAAGGGGTCACGAGTGAAAAAAGTTTAAGAAGGCCTGGACTAGAAGACTATCAGCAAGAAGCTTGGTGAGAAGGAAACAACTGTTGGAGCAATTATTCGCAAATGGAAGGAATACAAAATAACCATCAATCACCCTCGGTCTGGAGCTCCATGCAAGATTTCGCCTCATGGGTTAAGGATGATCATGAGAAAAGAGGGATCACCCCAGAACTACATGGGAGTAGCTTGTGAATGATGTCAAGGCAGTTGGAATCAGTCACCAAAAAAAACATTGGTAACACAATGCACCGCCATGGATTGATATCCCCTCCTCAAGAAGGCACATGTACAGGCCCGTGTGAAGTTTGCCAATTAACATCTAAATGATTTAGAGAAGGATTGGGAGAAAGTGCTGTGGTCAGATGAGACCAAAATTGAGCTCTTTGGCAGTAACTCGACTCGCCCTGTTTGGAGGGAGAAAAATGCTAACTATGACCCTAAGAACACCATCCCTACAGTCAAGCATAGAGGTGGAAACATTATGCTTTGGGGCCGTTTCTCTGCTAAAAGGTACGGGCTGACTTTGCCGCATTGAGGGGCCAATGGACATGGCCATGTATTGTAAAATCTTGGATGAGAACACCCTTCAGCATGACAATCACCCAAAACATATAGCCAAGGCAACAAAGCAGTGGCTCAAGAAGCACATTAAGGTTATGGAGTGGCCTAGCCAGTTTCCACACCTTAATCCTATAGAAAATGTATGGATGGAGCTGAAACTTCGAGTTGCCAAGCGACAGCCAAGAAACCTTAAGGATTTAGAGAAGATCTGTAAAGAAGAGTGGACCAAAATCCCTCCTGAGATGTGTGCAAACCTGGTAACCAACTACAAGAAACGTCTTACCTCTGTGCTTGCCAACAGGGTTTCTCCACCAAGTACTAAGTCATGTTTTGCTTGGGGATCAAATACTTAGTTTACTCACTGAACTGCAACTCAATTTATAACATATGTATAATGTGGTTTTTTTCTGGATTTTTGGTTGATATTCCGTCTCGATCATTTAAAATACACCTATGATACAAATATTCTAGACCTTTCATTTCTTTGTTAGTGGGCAAACTTACAAAATCTGCAGGGGATTAAATAATTATTTTCCACACTAATTTAGTCTAAAATGTAAAAAAAAACTGATTCTTAGAAAAAGATTGTAAAAAAGAAAGCCTGGAGAAAATTAATTATGTGGCTGGATGTATAGAAGTGATCCGTTAAAAGATAAAGCTGTTCGGAGTGATTTACAATATAAATCTAGGTCTGCGTCCAAAATAGATTTGTTTGTACAACATACAATAATAGACACTGGCCAATACTTAAGAAGGACAGGGTTCTCAGTAAGTTTCTACCTGATAAATTCCTATTCATTGATAGAGGGGCACCTTCACTTAGAAATATATTAGTCCCAAATGTAATGTCTAAACCCTTGGTTCTCAACTGGTGGGTCGTGACCCAAAAGTGGGTCGCGGCCCGGTGTTCAGTGGGTCGCTTCATGCCTTCCACTTTTCTAGGTGGGAGGCTCCTCTACCTCCCCCTAGCGCAGCACTGTCATTTCCCGTGCCAAGCAGCCATTCAGAATATGCTGCCCAGCACTGAGTTTCAGCTTGAGGTGAAATACATGCATTGCTTACAGATCCCTCATGTGTCCTGTAGAGGTGCCTGGACCAGAGTGACGTCCCATTCCGGCTCCTGGCACCTCTATAGGCGGGAAAGGGAGGGGTACAAGCATTGAACATATGGATTGGTGGGTCGTGACCCAAAAGTGGGTCGCGGCCCGGTGTTCAGTGGGTCGCTTCATGCCTTCCACTTTTCTAGGTGGGAGGCTCCTCTACCTCCCCCTAGCGCAGCACTGTCATTTCCCGTGCCAAGCAGCCATTCAGAATATGCTGCCCAGCACTGAGTTTCAGCTTGAGGTGAAATACATGCATTGCTTACAGATCCCTCATGTGTCCTGTAGAGGTGCCTGGACCAGAGTGACGTCCCATTCCGGCTCCTGGCACCTCTATAGGCGGGAAAGGGAGGTGTACAAGCATTGAACATATGGATGGATCTCCGTCACAGCACAGATGCCCACATTGGACCCCAGGCTAAGGATCCACTCCAGTTCTCGTAAGGTAGGGAGACTGGATGGACCTTAAGAAAGATAGGGCCCGTTCACACTAGTACAGTGCATTCATCGCACAGTCCAGCACAATTAACGCGCTGTACCACACAAGCACACTTATTACGCGTTCTTGGTGTGGGAGGTATGTTGCCTTGCCATTCATTTGAATGGTACCCCAAACGCACCTCCCACCCACAGTTCGATTGCCCGCCACGTGCGGTATCGCAATGCCGTGCACCCCATTTCGGTGTGACTTGGGTCGCGACTTAATGACCAAGGACAAACATGGGTCTTGAGGTTACACAGGTTGAGAACCACTGGTCTAAACCAACTCCTGTTACACTGTTTGATAGTAAAGGTTTTTTCCCCCTGCAAATGATGTAATGGAAACAAGTAGAGGTGCACCGAAATGGAAATTTTAAAACTGGAACCGAAATAAAAAAAAATTCTGATAAATCTCCCCACGTTCTTATTAAACTCCTTTAGTAACCCTTAGCTAAACCTCAATGACGCCTTCCATGCCTAAAAGCTGAACACTGGGTAAAATCAAAATTTACCCTTGCAGCGGGACTCCCCCTCAGTGCAAGGGATACATGCTTATCCTGCTCTAGGGGAACATAAACAGCAGTTTTACTTACCTTATCCCTTACTCCACTGGTAGCTCTCTTCAAAGCTCTGGGTTGTGGGCTGGCCCTCAGCAATCTCACCTACAATGCAGGACTTCTGGTATTTTATGTGAGGACGTCAGAGTGCCTGTGACAGACAGAATGGCAAAGAAATGTGGCTTTGGGGACAGGTCATGAAGCTGGCAGGAAGTCTGTGGGTGCAAGGAATAAGGCAAATAAACCTGCTTTTTTTATGTTACTCCTAGAAAAAAATTAGCATTTATCCCCTGCCATAGGAAGATGAAGGGCGTACAAATCAATAGCCCCATAGCCAAAATGTAACAAATGCTTTGGTCCATAAAGCATATACAGGTGCGAGAACAGAAGTGGTTATGTTAAAGATAAAGCATGAATTGCTAGACTGATAAAACGTACCCGGCATATGTAGGAAACCCAAATGCTACTGGAGGCAAATTAAAATGTTTTCAAAAGCCCAAAAAATTGCTATTATAGTTTCAATAAGAAAAAAACCCAGAAGACATCAAGGGCAAACGTTAATTTATTCAATAAACTGAAAAGCCACTGGAAGAATTAAAAAATAAAAAAGGGGACAATTTTCAAATGTTTTACAATGACAAATGAAAACATGATTTATGTCTACAATGTCTGCATAAAGGGTTAGCTTTCCCAAACCGTTTGAATTAAAACATCTTTTTAACTCTGTTTCTAAAGAAAATGCGTATGCTTTCTTCATTAGAAAAAAATATTAAATAAAAACAGAAGGCTCATATGACTGTGTTCAGCCAAAACCTTCTTAGTTCTTCATAAGGTGACTTTCTATGGATAAAATCCATTTTTTATACGTCGCAGATGTGGAAATACACTCATGCCTATACGAATATCTGCTGAAGGATATTAAAGTGAGTACAGATTTGGAAACACTGCTGAAGCAATAGCTTGTCAGCAACTGTAGCAAGGTGCACGTAGTTGTAACCCTATACTAAAGGCTGAGTAATGAAAACTGGAGTCTGTGCTTTCTTTCACAGATGAATCCTGACTGGCTCCCACTGGAAGGGGCCTACTTTTGCTCCAAATTGCGTTTTATAAATATATTGGTTCGGGGGAGCACAGTTCAGGTTTTTCTGTGAAATATGATATTCAGCCATTTTTCTCTTTCAATTGGCTAGATTCCTCTAACCTATAACATTCCAACTTTATATTCAATAACCGATTTATACTCGGTTAAGTCAGCAGTACAGATGAATGAATCTGTTTGTACATTTCTGATTCCCTGGAATATGGGCTTGTAGATTTGTGTAATCTAATCTGAATCACACCATTCGTGAATACACACAATGAATGACCTGCACTGCATGCACATATTTAGGCAAACCGCAAAAAAAGAGAGCATTCACTTATTTCACTAATCGATGTGTTCATCTTTAGCCTACAACATAAAGTACTTTTTCATAACAAGGGAACATGTGTCACTGAGGCCACAATTGCATGGACCCATGGGAACTGGAAAGATGTGCTGTGAGCCTAAAATCTTTGTACGTGTAACACTATGCCCCCTCCCTCATTCACTCAGTACAATCCAACCTGATTTTCCATGCAGTTGCTCAACTCTTATGGCATTGGGAACATCTGCAGCAGCACAAAGGGCACAATAACAAAAGGTCTCTAAACAAACCTTCAGGCCATGAGATTCTGTAGGGGAAATAAAGGGAGAGTTCAGGACTCAGAGACAACTTCAGGACTTCGGAGTGAGAAACTGAGGAGGTTTTATAAATGATCATACTTGTCCATGTCACTAATCTAACACAAACTGCTTCAAAATGCAACATATTTCTTTTTTCGTACCATCTACAGATCCAGCCTGCTTTCAAAAGATTGCTGGCTTCTAATACAACTGCTTCTAAGCCAGTACTACAGTTATAAAACTAAAATAATACCATGGTTAAATCTACATTCTTCTTTCAACTAGACGCTACAAAGATTGTGCCACTGCTCAGAGCTATTCAATGTCTGGTAAGGAGAGTTATAAAGAAGGAAAAACTCAAGCAAAACTCCTAAATTAAACAACTCCCGGTAATTCTGAAAAGCGTACAGCGCTGACTTGATATATGTTACCAGATGACTACTGAATATACAGTGATCACAAACAGCTTTGCAGGCAAATTAGAAAGTATTGTGGATACACACAAAAAAATACAGCAACAAAAAAGGAACCAAAACGACTAGTGCATATTAACGCAGCATGCAGCACAACATTATGTCAGCTAGTGAATGCTGTTGCATGTCACAAATGGGATTGCTACACATGATAAAATAATGATAAAAGGACATATTTTGATGTAATTGAGAATGTTCTTTTCACAGAGTAGATTTGACCACTCCTTTATTTCACAAGTCTTGTGTATGATTTGCAAACCTCGGGTCATAGCTGGGCCCGCCCAGCTTACAGAGGAAACCTCTGAATCGCATCTAGTGCTCTCTTCGGAGGGAAGCTCCTTCCCCTCCAAGTCTATGTGGTTTCCAACAGCTTATACGAAGGAGCAATTCGATTTTTACTGTAGAAATCGTTAAAACGGCTTAGTCGGCCATCCATTGCATCCGAACAGAAAGAGCCAGAGCCAATAGTATGTGCGCTTGAAGTAATTCAGGGTCTGAAGGATTCCTGTTTAGTATTTGTTGATGCCAAAAATTCGTACTCCATGCAACTGAGGTAACTTGGGGATAAGGACGCTGAGAAGTGAAGCAGTGTTGATGAAAAAATGTGTTGGATCATACTTTGTATAGAAGCTGGTCAGGAAGTACCTATAAAAAGAAAGCGCGTAAGAATAACAGGAAACAGCATTGTTAACAGACGTATTAAAAGACTGCAGGTGTTCAGTGGATGTTTCGGTTTGTAAGGACCCAGTCACACATCCATGCTTAAAAGCATATACATATTTAATGTGATGCCACTATTCATTGAGGTTTTTGACACATCTTTTCCATTCATTAACAAAACTCTGCAACCACAGAAAAATAAACTGCATGAAATAGAAGTTTTCTAATACTTCTCTGTGCCACTATTTTCCACTATATTCCAAAAATACCACTGGTGGAAGAATCTTCAGCATCCAGCACACTTTCAGATGTATAAGATGCCTGGTCCCCATCTGCATTCTGTGGTTGCTTCGGTCAACCCTTGTGTTCACTGCAAGTCACAGTAGGGATGTGGAGGCTGGTGGAAGGCACCACAGTGCTCAGAGGGGGACCGGGCATCCAACACACCTGGAAATGTGAATGGTGATGTGGGTGACTAGACAGGTTTTCCTCATTTTTTTTATTTTATTCAAACTAAGTGAGGGGCTAGGTACACATATGTGATATAATTATATAGCCCTATCTGTCCTCTAAAAAACTATATATAATATGTGTGGGTACATTTAGTAAGAAAGTATATTACTGCTGTGGAAGAATCACACAGCAAAAATGTAAAAAATGTGTCAGTCATTTATGAACAGAACCTGAAAACTAGCTCAGTCATGAAGGGGTTAAAAGTATATGTTTCCATGCAGCATTGTTTCCCCCTTCATGCTAGGGTTGCGTAAAAATGCATATATAGTGTTGTAACACTTTTTTTGGTAATCAATGACAGAAGAATGCACAGATGTAATTAATGTTATTAAAGCCAAACTCCAGCCCAACCTTTTTCAACCCTTGTTTTGGAACCTAGCTCTGGTTTTTTACTCTTGTCTGTGTCCTCATTAATGTTTTCTTTTCTGGGGAGGGGGGACAATGGGAAATCACTCCAATTGGGACAGAGATGACAGCAAAAACACAATGTTTAGGTTATAACATCTGAAAAGTTTGAATTGCTGTCCATGTTTACCTGTGCTGGCTGCCCCCCAATTCCTCATTTCTTGTCCTGGTGTCACAGGGGTGTCAACAGCACTCAAAGTGAGGGGAACCCATCCCAATGGCATCACAGACAACAATAAAAATCTGCCAGAAGTTTTTTTTCTAACCCTTCACTGCTCTATACAAAATGAAGATGAAATGTCCTGGCTGGCATTGGGCTTTCATATAGTACAGGAGGTATCTATGTAGTTCTTAGGTACTAAAGCATTAATACTAGAGGTGCACCGAAATAGAAATTTAAAAACCTAAACGAAACCGAAATAAAAAAAAAAATTGTCAGGCCGAAACCGAAAATGTTTTTATTTTAATTTTTTCAAATTTTTTAAATATTTTATTTTTATAAACTTTAGTTTTTTTAAATTTATTTTTATTAATTCATTTTTTATTAAATATGTTTACTTTACTTTTAGGGGCTTTGGGGGAAATATTGGGGATCTAAACAGACCCCTGATATTTCCCTTTTAAAATAGAAAAAGAGATTGAGAACACAAAGTCCTCAATCTCTTTTTCTGTATCCCCTGTTATCAATGAACAGGAATCCTCTATGAGGGTTCCTGTTCATTGATAACATGAGAACATTGTATGTTTACTATAACTACAACTATGAATGAACAGGAGGTGATTTAGCTCACTTCCCATTCATTTATAATTGAGGATATAGTCAACATACCAAGTCCTCCATTATGTACAAACACTCAGCGATCACTGATAGCTGAGTGTTTGTACCTCACTCTTCTCTCTGACACGCGGTCACAGGAGGCTGAGCGAGCGGTGCGGGAGGAGAGCTCAGCCTCCGGTGACAGCGAGGGCTGTCTCCGCCCCCACACTGCTCTGCCGGACTGCGATAGGCAGCTGAGCAGTGTGGGAGGTGACGGCGGCCGCTCACAGCGCTCTCCACCACAGCTCTCGGCCGGCTGTCACTTTCTCTCCTCCCCGCTGGGACACAGAGCAGCGCCCAGCGGGGAGGAAAGAAAGCACGGATGCGCCGATGTATCGGCAGGAAAATTGCACTTTCAGCACTTAGCCAAAAGTGCCATTTTCGGCCGATATGTTTCGGCGGCCGATATATCGGTGCATCCCTAATTAATACTAACCAGCATGAATAGGCTCTACTTCAAGTTATACGCATGTTTATGACAAACAAGACACTTAAATAGGGAGAGGAGTCAAAACTGCTACATATATAACATTTATAAAAATGAGTACACTTAAAAATGTAGGTTATATTTAGATAAAGTGGAACTTTAACTTTAGATAGATTGAAGGGTTAAAACCTCTGGCAGGTTATCGCTATGTCCCAGTCAGGCTGTCCCCGTTACAAAGGAAACAATTCTGGTTGGAATTCCATTTTAAAGGAAAACCGTATTGGAAGTAAAAAGACCACTTGGCCATTCTTGCAATAGCATTTTGCATTCAGTGTTTTTAGTCTTTTGGTCAGATGTGGTGGTGAGAGAGGAAACGATAGGATGTCTTCTCAAAGGAAGAAGTAAAAAAACTTTACCCATGCAGGGCACAAAAAAAGATCAACCAACAGCCCACTCCTTCCCCAGCAGCACGTACTCACCTTTTCTAGTTCCTGTAATGCTTGTTTTGGTTGCTCGAAAAAACCGGTACTTCCAGGTATGGGTAAGCATGTGACTCACTCCCACCTCCCATGTGACAGCACTAGGAGCTTCATGATTGGCCCAACGCTGACACAGGGCTGTGGGAAGAAGTTTGTAGCCCTGCGTAAGCTCTGACAAATCAGTATGGACAGTCAAACAGAACGGTGCAGGAGCAAGGAAAAGTGAATATATAATATATGCTGCTGAGGAAGGGAAATATAAATGGCTCTTTTACTTTGCTCAGCTTAGGCAAAGGAAAGGGTCACTTTAAATTCCACTTTAAGTGCAAGGGAAATTTTCTGGCATCTTGAGCACAATGCACAAATCACTGATATTAACAATTCAATGCTAAATGCAACTTACAGAATAATTGGAGAGATTGTAAAGAATTTTCTTGATGACGTGAACTGTACTCCATAATCTAGTTGTTCCCAATGTGTAAGAAGTCTGGCTTTACCCTGGTCTGGGGTTTCAAATGGCGTGCCCTTCACTGCATGTAAAAACACATACATTCCCTGTTGAGCAAAAATATAAAATTTCATGTGTATAACGAATAAAAGTTCAAAGACTATTCTGAAATGAAAGGTTAGTGTACACAGACATTGGATTTGAGGTAAGCTTTGAGGTTAGTTAAGGTGCATACTGCATTCAAGATACAAAACACTGAATTCCACATCCATTAAAATACTTCTGTACTGAAATTGATGTTGGAAGCAAAACGGATATACTCTCAGTACACCAACTTAAAGGAAAAACCTGAAGTTAAACAGCATTACAGACCTATTATCATATACTTTTGGGGGTTTCCTATGAAAATATCGTCATGCGTTTTCACATTTAATGGTAATGTGAATTTAACATCATTCTTTGTATCTTTCTATTATGTTTATAGCCTTGTTCATAGGCGACCTATTCCCTGTTACTTGACTGGGTCAGCAGGCCCTAGGGTGGTGTCAACGCTGAATGTAGTAGAGGGTTTGGAGTTAAAAGGAGAATATGCATGGACATCTTAGCAAGAAGACCTGCATAATGTAGATGGCTGTATTGCCAGGCCTTAGAGCCTGCATATAATAGCTGAGAATTGTGCAAGGTTGGCCACATTGATTGTTACCCGTGGGTGACTGGAGAGAGTTTCTAAGGCTACATGCATATGGGCATCTGGGGATTCCTGAGGCAAGAGCCTGTGGATTCTTGAGGCAGGAATTCCAGATGGATCCATACAGATGCAGCCGCTGTGTCCATTGAAGCTAATAAAAGTGTGACAGTGGCTGCAACTGTCTCTGGCTGTCTGCATTTAAAATCGTACATGGAATGATTACCTACAGATTGGGATAGATGCTAGTCCCGGGAAGCAGAGAGATTGCATCTAGGGAGTTGTTTGGGTCCCAATCCCCAGGTAACTTAATGAAGTAGACAGGCACAGGGAGTCAACGCAGGGGATAGGCACAGGGGTCAATGCAGGGGACAGACACAGGGGGTCAATGCTGGGGAAAGACACAGGGGTCAATGCAGGGGACAGGCATAGGGGGTCAATGCAGGGGACAGCTATATGAATTATAGGCAAAAGGTCAGCCAAATGTGCTGCAGGAATCATTGGAGAGGTTGAGGTAGTAATCTGGATCACAGAACAACAGGTGCATGATTTACATTAAAGCTGGCCATACACACACATAATTTTGTTAGAGAATCAAATGAGTATTCCGAAAACATATTTTTTTTTAATAGTTAATTGGGTCAAATCAAAGATGGTTTTTGACTGTAGTGACAAAAAATTAATTAATAAATAGAAGGATAAGGATGCCATTTTTTTTTTTTAAACGAACAAAATTCTAGCAGTGAAATGGTAAAAACAGTGGTAAAATAACATTTATTCCAAAATCAAATATTGAAATCAAATGGCTATTCAAATGACTTCCATCAAGTATCTGATGGCATTATCGACGACGAGGCTCTGACGAACGAGGTTTTTTGTTTCAATGTTTGTTTGAAAATCTACCTGTATATGGCCAGCTTTACTAACATTTCCCAAGAGGAGCAGGAGCCCTTACATACACACAAGGACTGGTAATGTAGAGGAAAGGTCAGTGACACAGAACAAGACGACAGATCCAGTCTAGCAGGGTGATATTAATGAGTCCACAGCACAGTGGTTGGGAATGATGACAAGTTACAGGATGAAATCTAGTCAGATTCTTCACAGCCTTTATAACAGTCCTAAAACATTAGTGATTCATGACAGAGTCCTTTTCAACACATCATAATCTTTTGAATCACGAATGGTATAATATTTGGTATAATATTTTGTTAGAACATATCAAAGCTTCTCAAACTGTTGTCCATTAGTTGCACAGAATGATCATGCAGCAACACTGTATTCTATCCAATGAAAACATCACCCCTTGTGTAATGTATTTCATAATATAGTCAGCAAAACAGCAGTAAACAGAGATGATTAAACCGTGTTAGGAATGAGCTCTTTTTGGACGTGTGTTTCTTCACATGGCAATCTTATCATTTATTCCCGTGAGTAAAGAAATCATGACAGCAGTTGTAAAGTGTACAAGGTCAGTTCAGCCAGCTAGCAGAATATATTCTATTAAAAATGCAGTGTTCAGAAGTAGAGGAGTTTTAGAAGAAGAAAAAAAAAAAAAAAACACATTTCGATTGTTAAGGTGCACATAAGCAGCATTTAGTTTTGCAGCCAACCACACAATAACGCTATGGATCCCATTTACAGGGAAATTACAACTACACAATACGCTGTTAATCTAATCTGCAGATAACAGTCCTTTTTTTTTTCTATCCAACATCTACAGAATATATCTTCAAATGTGAAAAAATGCACTTGCATGTCTGAAGTCGCCTCCAGACGGTGTAGCGGTCCGTACCCTGAACTTCCCTGTCCTACAGTATGGAATACTCATAATGCTCATAAATGGTGAGCGTTCATTGGGCAGTCACATGACCACACTGACCAAGTTGATCCCCAGTACAGAAGTTGGGGAGTCGGGTTTACGGTGTACAGACCGCTACACCAGCTGGAGGAGATTTCAGCCATGTAAGTGCAGTGGGGGCTGGGGTGCTTAATTTTTTCACAATTTGTGAGAAAGTGAACTTACCCTTAAAATTAAACTGAACACAGCAGTACCATGCTCCTGTACACAATTTCAACTATCTTCTAAAGCAGGGCTCAAAATGTCTACTCGCCCCCTCGCAATTGGCGATTGAAAAATGCGTGGGGGCGGCAGGACGAGGGGGGAAACTGCTGCCGCTTCAGCAGCGGCGATCATCTCTTCGGTTTTCCCCCCTTCTCTTCTCCTCTTTGGCCGCTCTATAGCTGCAGCGGCCGAGGAGAAGAGAAGGGAGAATCAGTTCAGCTGGCTGTCCGTCACCTGCAATCTTCCTCCGCCCACGTTAGCCGTTAGCAGCCATAGGCTGGGAGTGGCAGAGCTCCAATTTGCTGGCTGGCAGGACAGCGCAGGACCTGAAGGGAGGATTCAAGTTGGACATGGAGGACACATCACTGTACCCCTTACACACCTCCCACCACCAGGAGAACAAGAGGGCACCTGAATCAGGTCAGCCATGTGCACTGTAAGTCCCTGTTATTTTTCTGCCTTAAACCGCTTTTTTCTGCACTGTGCAATATTGCTGACCTCTGTAGTGTGCGTTATTTCTGCCTTAAACCTCTGACCGCTGCACTGTGTGTTATTATTGACCTCTGTACTGTGTGTTATTTCTGCCTTAAACCGCTAACCTCTGACCTTTGTACTATGCGTTACATTACTGACCTCTGTACTGTGTGCGTCTTCCTGCTGACCTATGTACATTTCTGCTGGAGGCTTCACCTTGTTACATGGAGGCAGCATTGATGCACCCCCCCAACATCCCACCAGGAGAGGAAGAGAGCACCTGTGCATTTAAGTCCCTGTTTTTTCTGTGTTACACCGCTGACTCTGCACTCCGAGTTACGTTACTGACCTCTGTACTGTGTGCGTCTTCCTGCTGACCTATGTACATTTCTGCTGGAGGCTTCACCTTGTTACATGGAGGCAGCATTGATGCACCCCCCCAACATCCCACCAGGAGAGGAAGAGAGCACCTGTGCATTTAAGTCCCTGTTTTTTCTGTGTTACACCGCTGACTCTGCACTCCGAGTTACGTTACTGACCTCTGTACTGTGTGCGTCTTCCTGCTGACCTATGTACATTTCTGCTGGAGGCTTCACCTTGTTACATGGAGGCAGCATTGATGCACCCCCCCAACATCCCACCAGGAGAGGAAGAGAGCACCTGTGCATTTAAGTCCCTGTTTTTTCTGTGTTACACCGCTGACTCTGCACTCCGAGTTACGTTACTGACCTCTGTACTGTGTGCGTCTTCCTGCTGACCTATGTACATTTCTGCTGGAGGCTTCACCTTGTTACATGGAGGCAGCATTGATGCACCCCCCCAACATCCCACCAGGAGAGGAAGAGAGCACCTGTGCATTTAAGTCCCTGTTTTTTCTGTGTTACACCGCTGACTCTGCACTCCGAGTTACGTTACTGACCTCTGTACTGTGTGCGTCTTCCTGCTGACCTATGTACATTTCTGCTGGAGGCTTCACCTTGTTACATGGAGGCAGCATTGATGCACCCCCCCAACATCCCACCAGGAGAGGAAGAGAGCACCTGTGCATTTAAGTCCCTGTTTTTTCTGTGTTACACCGCTGACTCTGCACTCCGAGTTACGTTACTGACCTCTGTACTGTGTGCGTCTTCCTGCTGACCTATGTACATTTCTGCTGGAGGCTTCACCTTGTTACATGGAGGCAGCATTGATGCACCCCCCCAACATCCCACCAGGAGAGGAAGAGAGCACCTGTGCATTTAAGTCCCTGTTTTTTCTGTGTTACACCGCTGACTCTGCACTCCGAGTTACGTTACTGACCTCTGTACTGTGTGCGTCTTCCTGCTGACCTATGTACATTTCTGCTGGAGGCTTCACCTTGTTACATGGAGGCAGCATTGATGCACCCCCCCAACATCCCACCAGGAGAGGAAGAGAGCACCTGTGCATTTAAGTCCCTGTTTTTTCTGTGTTACACCGCTGACTCTGCACTCCGAGTTACGTTACTGACCTCTGTACTGCTGACCTTTGTACTGTGCGTCACACCGGTGGCCTCTGCGTTACTCACTTCTGTACTCTGCGTCACACTGCTGGCCTCTGTATTCGGCATTACACAACTGACCTCTGTACTGTGCGTTGTTACTGATCTCTGTACTCTGTGTCACACCACTGACCTGGCTGCGTTAAGTCCGGGGCAGGGTAGGGTTTAGAAGGGGAATTGGTGACGAATAACTTTTAAGGCCTGGCTGGTAGACCAGGACTTAAAATTTTGAGCCCTGTTCTAAAGTGTCCCAGGAGTTTTAAAGCCTAAGAAGGCAAGACTTTGGCCTACCCTATAATCCCTATCTAGTGGTTAAGTAGGCCACCCATTGCTGGGACAGAATGCAATTTAAACCCAAAATTTTACAGTTACCCTGGGAACAGAAGGCAAGAGGAAATCTTCCAAGAGAGACACCAGTTTTGGGGGCAACTGTCTAAGGGCCAGTTCACACCAATTACGGTGCGTTCCAGAGCTTTGTTCTGGGGCGGGAGGGAGCATGACGGTGCATTGAAGTCAATGGCACCGCAGCCAGGCCCCCGGCCCGCAGTGTGATCGGACACATGGCAAAACATTGCTAGAATGCACCATAATTGGTGTGAACTGGCCCTCAATCTGAAGTTAATCCCAGTCACTTACTGTAGTGTATCTGGGACAGGAAGTGAAGGGATTTCTTCCCAATGGGACACAGTAAAAAACAAAAATACAACACACACGGAGTTCTAATTATTTCCTACTCTATCCAAAATTAAAAATGTATTGGCTCTTTAAAGGCTTTACGTGTCTATACGTTTTTCATGAAATGGACCCATGATTCACATACCAGCTTGGTACCCCACAAAAAGCACCATGAACACCTGTCACCAGATAATAACAATGTACTAACATGTAGGTGGATTATTGTATTAACAGTTCCAGCCTTTGGTATTCATTGTCTAATTGAGAGGCTTTCATGTTGCTACATCTATGGATCCCTCCTCATGTATCACTTCCCCCTCCCTTTTAGATTGTAAGCCCTCAGGGGCAGGGCCCTCCTTAACATCTGGTCTTGAATGGTATTGTGATTGTAATGTCTGCCCTATATTGTAAAGCGCTGCGCAAACTGTTGGCGCTATATAAATCCTGTGTAATAATAATAATAATAATAATAAATCCGGGCTCCACTTTATGTATAGCATGGAAAGTCACCAGATACTCACCAGATTGTGAATGACATTGGTCAAAGTCCATGCAACAGGGACACTAAAGAAAGGAATGCTTAGCAGCACTATGTGTAGCATTCCAACTCCCAGGGCATACGTTAACCACATTCCACGGCTATTCATAACCCTAGTATTTGGGTTCACCTCGCTGTGTGCAACACCCACATTCATCTTGTCCCTGAAAAGTACAAAAGATAGTTTAGTACCATTTGGAATCTCCAACAATTCATGAAGAATTACAGACAAAATGTAAGAAATGAACATTACAGAGAATGAAACTGGTCTCTAAGCAATAAAAAAAAAATATACAATCTACAGTATATGACAATAAACACCTTGTAATGCAACAGTTCTAAAAAATAAATTTTTATGGATGATGTAACATAATATTTGAAAGATGTAATTAAATGAATGTGGAATGTATCAAAGCCCAAGAACAAACATTTAATATATTGTAGCGTGACGCGCCTTAGATGTGGTGGCTCCATTAGTTTTTCTTTCTTAGTTTTTTTAACAACAGCAATACACCTTCTGTCCTAGGGTGACAACGCTCACTCACTATACTGTATTCTAAGGAGAAGCAACGTTGTCACCCTAGGCTGCTCTTCTGATTAAGACCATAAACACCTCCCTCTCTTCTCATCTCCATTACGTAGGGGAAGGATGATGTGTGGCTTGCAGAAGACAGCTGGAAAGGTTGATAACATTGTTTGAGATATCAGTTCAGTGCACAGGAAGTTACAAAGGACATAGGATTTCTGGCAGGGTCATTAGGAATTCTTCTGTACTTTTGAAAAAAGAAAACTAATGCAGACACCACATCTAAGGGCTGGTAAACTGCATTATACCACATTTTTTTTGTTCTTAGATTTAGAGTTTTATCCTTTAATATAAATTGTTAACCGTGTTGAATATTTTCCACCTTAGGGTATGCTAGTACCGAAAAGGGGAGGGGCTTTTAAGAAATACTGTAAACTCTCTTGATATATAAAAAAAATATAGAAATAGTTATTAACATCACGATTATAGAAAGGTAATTTTATACTATATATGTTTACTTTATGCACATATATTAATGTATTTTCCTTGCTACACATACATTTTTGGTTATCGTTTCATTAATTGTCACTTCTTACACTATACCTACCATTCACACACTAGTTTAATACCTAATTGAGTTTATAAATAGTTATTAACTCTACTGACTCATATTTACTTTTATATACATCTTTAGTTGTGTTTTTTCACAACCAATCCCCTCTTCTTGCTGCCTTCGCTTCCTGGTGCTGCGATTTGCCCTCCTGACATGACTCCCATGCATGACTGCGTCCGTCTGAAGCAGGAAATGAAATTTGATATGGTTGGTTCCTTCTTATCTTCACATAGTGGTGTCGTTTGATCATCTATGTGGATTCCTCTATGTAAGTTTGCAAATATCTATGGATATAACAACTTAGATATACATATATATGTTGTTTATACAAAATGCAGTCTCTGAGTTACTTTACCTGGGTTCCTTCTCATTTAGGATAAATACTTCCCCCTGAAGAAGCCCAGTAGGGCAAAACATGTTGGGGCTATCCAAATGAGTTATCCACTATGTTTTACAAAAACCAGTAATTATGCTATGGAATAATAAATGTTTCCTAACATAATGTTAAAAAAAACTTTTTTTCCCCCAAATTTTCTGTAATTTTTCCTAATTATAGTAAAAAATAAAAACCCCAGTGGTGATTAAATACCACCGAAATAAAGCTCTATCTGTCCCCAAAAAATGGTATAAAATTCATTTCAGTACAGCGTTGCATGACGGAATAAACGTCAGTCAAAGTACCGCAGCGCTGAATACTGAAAAATGGCCTGGCCAGGAAGGGGGTCTAAACACCTGGTCTTGAAGTGGTTAATAAATATTTCTATATTTTTTTATATATCAAGAGAGTTTATAGTATTTCTTAAAAGCCCCTCCCCTTTTCTGTACTAGCATACCCTAAGGTGGAAAATATTCAACACAGTTAACAATTGCTATTTGGGGTGTGAAATCTTGCTTTCTTACTTCTTTTGTTTAATACACGCCCACTAAAATGTATCTATCCTTTAATATAAGATGTAAATATTGCTCATCACTATGAACTTGGTTTTAGATGGAATATGAGCAGACAGCATATAGGAAAACACTCAAATAAGGGGGAGCTGCACTGTCAAAATTTGTCAGATGATGCATGTTCCGTTCCTCCAAGCATGCAGTTAACATGTCGCTAATCGCTCCCGTGATTTAAATTAAATATGTTCCAGGCAGATCTTTCATCGAGTTGATATTGATACTATTCTAGTACAATGTAGCATGCGAGAGTGAGCCATGTTCCCATACAGAAAATATTTGTGTAAGGCTGGGTTCACACCTAGGCGTATTACGCATGCATGTCTGTCGCGCGACCGTCACGCGGTTTTTTTACCGTGATTTGCGGTCAAAAAATCGCGCGATTCCGAAGGCTACTTGGCTGTATCCCAATGGAAAACGCCCTCCAAAACGGCCCAAAGAAGTACATGTACTTGTTTGGGCGTCAGCCGTTTTGTAGGGCGTTCAGACGGGCGGAAATACGGAAAGGTGTGAACCATACCCATTGAAAACAATGGGATTTTCATGGTTGTACGTTTTGTAGAGCGTTCATAGAGCGTTGAACGCCCGACAAAACGGAAAGGTGTGAACGGGGCCTAAGTGTGCCTGGCTCCAATACGGTCAGAATGGCTTGACCCTCTTTTTTAAGCATAAGTGATAACACAAGGCTGCTGATCATTTATAACAAACAACATGAACCTTTCAGTACCTCATTTATTAGAATTAAAGCAAGTCTATTGTGTATTTTCACATTCTGACCTACCACTGTAACACTTACCTGAAAGTCTCCAAAGCCTATCTCCAGGAAAATAAATTCCCCTTGCAGAGGGGCTACTCCCCCACCACAAAGGGCTAACTGCTCTTTTATGTCTAGGGTACCTGTGTAAAGAACTTTTACTAACTCCATCCCCGCTTCCACATCCTCTTTCCCCCTCCGCTCTGGCGGTCAGAGACCCACTGATGTACAGCGCACCTGCATTATAGGAAAGGTCTCCGAGGGATAGTCCACAAGCTGGAACAAGTCCTTTACACAGGTCCCCTAGACATTACCGAGCAGTTAACCCTTGCAGTGAGAGGTTAGCCCCAATGCAAGGGTGAGATTTTTTAAATTTCCCTAGCGATAAGCTTTAATAATTTTTATTTAATAATTTTATTCCAAATATACACTTTTTTTAATGCTGAACTCCACAGCAGCTAAATATACAGTTGACATGTATATAGAGTCAAATAGCTGTGTGGACCTCTCTTATGATAGACTGTTTTTCTTTTTACTTAAAATAGAATGTTAGTTTTGTTCTTGAAGGGTAAAGTATAAAGAGGCATACATGGACTTTATAATGAAACATTTGCATGGTTAGTATGGCACGATAACAGCCCTTGTAAAACAGGCATCTCACTTCTGTTCACATGCAGCAACTTTGTTTCAGATCTGCAGGTGTGTAAAACCTTTTTCTAGAAACATGGCTTTTTTTTCAAAACCTTTTTTTGTTCATTTTTCAGAGATGAATTCACAGATTTCCGGTTCAACCCTTTTGCTGCAGAAAACAAAATCAATTTCAGTATATTCCGGTAGCCGGCTGACCTCATTTTCTGGGGACAATAAAATTGCTGAACCTAGACTAATTATCCAATGGAAAGCTCTTACATATTTGCTTAGCTAAATCCAAGTGGTGACTATTCATTTGGCCGGGCAATGTATATATAATAATCATTTCATCTCATGGAAGTTTAAAGCTGAACTCCAGGAATATGAAAAATCTACCTTCGCAGTAGGCCTCCCCTGCAATTCGAGGGTTAAATGCTAATTTTTTCCTAGGGTACCAGTAAAAGGCAGTTTTACTTCCCTTATCCCTTGCTCCTCGGCAGGTAAGCCGGCACTTACGTCTTCTCTTCGACGCTCAGGCTTGTGGGAGGGCCTCGTCATCTTACATTGTATGTGATGACATGCCAGCTGCCACCGCCAGCCACAGCACTAGAGAAAAAAAACCCACGGCTGTGGGGATTGGTTGCATGGAAAGAGGAGTCTGCGGGAATGAGGGATTAAGTAGATCAGGGATGGACAAATTAATATGGAATTCAGCAGCCAATCTTTCCGATTCAGAAGCCAGCAGGATTTTTTTGGGAGCCAGCTCCATTGAGAATTAGAAAAAAAACACAAAAGTTGGGTGCCAGCTGTAATTTCTAAGGAGCATTGGCTACCTGGCTCCTGGGATTTGTCCAGCCCTGAAGTAAATAATGCCATTTTTCTTTCAAGTATTTAATTCTTGCAGTGCACGGGGAGCCCCACTGCAAAAGGTATTTTTTTCTAAAATCCAACTAGCTGAAGAGGATGGCCACGCATAGTCCCTATTTTTTATCAAATTCTTCCACATGTGTACGATTGTTGAAGCAATTGGCCTTCAATCTGAAAATAAACCAGGCTCCTTCTTTGAGAGCTACTTAAAATTCCAATGATGAGAGCATGCTGTTCTGGAGGCAAGAAACACCCGTATAAGTAAATCCTGGTCACTTTTAGCTCATGTGTTAGCTCTTCCTATCCAACACTCACAAATTATTACAAAAAAAACAAACCCTGGGGAGGTAACTTATCCGTTAAGTTACAAGCAATAAACACAGATTTGCAGACAAAGCATTCCATCCAAAGGTCACTGAAGACAAATCCACACATGGAACACGAGTCCAGGTCAAAGGACACATTTGAGTACAACAAAATGTAGTCCGTGATAAAGGCTCATGAACAGGTGGTGCCTATACACACACACACACACACACACACACACACACACACACTTTAATTGTGAAAAGAAAACTGGTGCTAGAAATGGGAGTTGCAGCATTTCAGCACCTGCTCATTCCTGGAATGATATGCATTAGATTCTCTAAAGCAGGTCTTCTTAAAACTTTCTCCACCCATGACCCCTTTTTGGCCGAGGAAATTTATAAGGGACCCCAGCATCGGACGGTGTTTCTTTCCCCCCCAGCGTCGGACGGTGTCTCTCCCCTCTTTCCCCCCAGCGTCACACAGTGTCTGCCCCCTCCCCTAGCATCGGTCAGTGTCTC